CCTTCCTTCCTTCCTTCCTTCCTTCCTTCCTTCCTTCCTTCCTTCCTCCTTCCTTCCTTCCTTCCTTCCTTCCTCTTTCTTTCTTTCTTTTTTGAACTGGAGTTTCTCTCTTGTTGCCCATGCACTAGCATGATCTCAGCTCACTGCTTAGAAGGTGATTCACTCAGTGAAGGTGAACCCACTGTTAGTAAAATATGTCTAGTACCAGATGCTTTTTGATCTCCTAATGACCTATCAAACTGCAGGTCTTTTGACTTTGTAATATATTCAGTGCCACCTTTATTCATTTAAGAATTAAAGACTTTTTGTATCCCCATTATGTGCCAAGCACTGGGTGGGACACTAGGTAACAGAGATGAACAAACCCTGTTCGCAGGATTTCACAGTGAATGTTAGAATTTAGTGCCATTTAGCTTCATTTGATTCCGCAGTAGTTCCAAGATTTTCCAAGATGATCCTGTCTTCAAGTGTCCTGTTGATTCAACTTCAGAATCGGTCTCTCTTCACACCTTACTGCTGCCACTCTGCCACCATCTCTTACCTGGATTATCTCAGTAGTCTTCTAACTGGCTTTTTTTGTTTCCATGTTTGCCTTCTTCAGTCTACTCTCTTTCTCTCTCTTTTTTTTCAGACGGAGTCTTGCTTTGTCACTAAGGCTGGAGTACAATGCCGTGATCCAGGCTCACTGTAACTTCTGCCTCCTGAGTTCCAGCAACTCTCCTGCCTCAGCCTTCCTAGTAGCTGGGATTACAGGCATGAGCCACCATGCCCGGCTAATTTTTTGCATTTTTAGTAGAGACAGGGTTTCATCATGTTGGCCAGGCTGATCTTGAACACTTGTCCTCAAGTGATCCACCTGCCTTGGCCTCCCAAAGTGTTGGGATTACAGGAGTGAGCCACCGTGCCTGGCCACTCTACTCTCAATACAACAGCTAGTACAATCCTTTCACAGTGGAATTAACATCATAATTACCTCTCTGTTCAAACTCTCCAGTGGCTTTGTTTTGTACATGACCTGGCCCCTGCCACCTGTCTCACTGTTCTTCCTGCTACCCTCCTGCTCTTACTCCTCTTTATAAACACTGAGCTCATGTTGTTTCCTTTGGCACGTTAGGCAGGCTTGATCCTGTCCTGTCTCTGGGCCTTGCTGTTTCCTCTGCCTGGAACATTCTTCCCCTACTGTCTGCATGGCTCACTCTCTCACTGCTTAGGACTGTGGTTCAAAAGTCACTTTATCAACGGCCTCCAGGCTGCTCTGAGACTTTGATCACTACCTGCGGAGGTCTGTCCTGCAGACCTTGTCTTAGCAGCAGATGAATGAAATACTCTCTTACATACAGAATACAGTGCAAGAGTTGGGCTAAGGGGTCCTCAGCTGCTTTTACAGGGTGATTGCTGCTAATTGACTACAACTTCTTGTTCCTTCTTGCATTTATTCAGTATAGATTTAATAATAGGTTTTAAGTCAGCATGCTTGTAAATAATTAACATGGATAAAAGAGTGGATTTGGCCGGGTGTGGTGGCTCACGCCTGTAATCCCAGCACTTTGGGAGGCCAAGGCAGGTGGATCACGAGGTCAAGAAATCGAGACCATCCTGGTCAACATGGTGAAACCCCATCTCTGCTAAAAATACAAAAAATCAGCTGGGCATGGTGGCGCGTGCCTGTAATCCCAGCTACTCAGGAGGCTGAGACAGGAGAATTGCCTGAATCCAGGAGGCGGAGGTTGCAGTGAGCCAAGATCGCACCATTGTACTCCAACCTGGGTAACAAGAGTGAAATTCCGTCTCAAAAAAAAAAAAAAAAAAAGAGTGGATTTACGAATCATAAAACCCTTTGCTTCTGAGGCCCAGAATAAACACCATTAACTAGTAATTCTTTTTCAGCCTCCCCCGAGAAGGCCATCTAGCACAAAGTTTATATGAGTAAACAGAGTAGAGACAAAGGAATGTGGGGTGAACAGATTTAACTGGGGAAGCTTTTATTACCTTATGTTTAAGTCACCTTGTGACTTAAAGCTCTAAGGTAAGAACTGGCTGTCTTCAACCTGACTCATTAAAACATTTTGGCTTTCCAAAAAGGTTTGATACTATAATCTATAACTTCCCTAATATTTCCCTTAATATTTTGGGAGCCACCCTGAGTGAATCCCAGCACTGCTCTGAATAAAATATATCCTTAATTTATGTTTCCTATTTGATGTCTGACTCCCCCTTGTCCTTCACTAAAATGTAAACTCCATAAGGGAAGGGATTTTGTCTGTTTTGTTCTGTCGTATCCCTAAATACCTAGAAGGTGCTCAGTAAATACTTGTTGGTTGAATGAATAAATCAGCCTATTATTGAATCAGTCAATGTCTTATGTAGAAGGGACTTCTCATACCAGTGGTGCATATCTGTATGATAGCTGGCATAGGGAGGGATGTGGTCAGAATGGCTCTGTCTGTGTGGACTAGTTTTGCCTAGCATGATCCCAGCAGGCTCCTATTGGGGTTAAGCCACAGTTTCAGCCATACTAGTATCATTCTTTAATCACAAAGCCAGAGGATGTTGAGGTTGGAATTGATCTGGGAGACTATTCGGTCTACCTTTCTTGTGATTTGTATGAGAATAACAGAGCCTAGAGAAAGTAAGTTAATTACTCACAATTGTAAACCTGTAGAGGCCTACCTGAGATTAGGCTTCTGACGTCAGATTCCATAGGCTTTCCTACATGTGTTCCCCCCTGGCTGAGACAGTTCGTGAGCTTTCAGATTTGACAATTTTCTCACCAGTCTCTAAAAAGGAGCTTTTATCTGCACATTATAGGTTAGCATAGATGAATGATGACCCTGCAATGTGTGGGAAAATCCCAATGGTTGACCACTGTGAATGGGAACTACCCCAGATGTGTCAGGAGCACCACAGGCATGCTCACTTCTTCACTGGCTGGAGCTGGGTAAGATGGAAAGGAAACCCAAATCAAGACACTTTGCTGCTTCAGTTCTTTTATTGCATGTCACAGTCCAATGTGTCACCATTTAAAGTCAGATATTTTGTTGAATGGCCACACCAGCTGCAGGCCCTTGGGTCAGAAGTCTTGATATCACCAATTATTCATTTTCTTGTTGGACTTCCATACTTCAGGCATTTGTGTGTAGCTGGTCAATTGTGAAGTTTTCAGTGTGGTGTAGAACCCTTTCTTTTTGGGACAGTTGGTTCTCCTTGTGCAGCATGTCCTGAAGCTGGCCTGTCTCCATCCTCTTTCTAAGTGTGTGAGGTCTTTTGTTAGGCAGCATAAAGTGAGAGATGACCCCTGAAGAAGGAGAAAAACTCCTCCAACATTTGCTGAAACATGTTTTTAAACTGACCAAGATGTAATTGGAATGGCATAAAAAGACTGAAATTTATTTAATTTCTTGCCATCTGGCTTGTGATATCTGGTGCCTTCAATTGAGTTTAGAAGGAACGTTGATCATAGGTCAAGAGGTGAGATATATATATGTGTGTGTGTGTGTGATTGTGTGTGTGTGTGTATGCATATATATACACACACACACACACACACACACACACACACACACATATATATATATATATATGGAGAGAGAGAGAGAGAG